TGCAGACATCTTGCCCTTTGCAGTGTTCGTCCTTTGGTTTCTTGGGGTCCCCTTTAGCCATCCTGACTGTACTGCTCACGAGCCTCAACAGGAGTTATTGCCTGGGCACCTAACTGCAAGGATACAGGGTGGGCAGGCATCTTTTGTTACAAGGCCACACCTGACCCAGCACCTACGATAAATGTAAACAATAAACTGTGCTTGTGAAAACAAATGGCTGGACTGAGAGTGTGTCTATGCTCTTTGGGTGGAACTAGAAGACTATCGTAGTGCAGTAAGTCCAAGTGCATCAGTTTAAAAACAAACTCTAATAATAGAAAGGATGCAGAATGGAAGTACAGACAGAAAACGAGGATGGTGATACTAGCACTTACAGGAACGAGAGACAGGGAGAAGGGCATCTCAGGCAAAAAAATGTCCAAAGCTGCTAGAGAAGAAAAAAAAGCAAGTGTTCACTATGGAATCAGAAAAAGTTTCCCACTGAGGTGGCCATGGGTCTTCCCCTCAGCCGAGGGAACCCATGGTAACTGCCACTATAAGGAAAAAGCTGATAGAAGCTCGCAGATTTGTCGGTAGTTACCAGCCAGCGGCCCCACTTGCAAACTGGAGAGTACTTGGCGTTTTCCCTATTTCTGGCAATTTATGTAATAACAGAACTGACATAAAAGGCCAGGTTGTTTGAAACAATACCCAATGGCCATGGAAGATAAAAGGGATTAAACCTCACATTTAAGACATCTCTGCTGACGGACCTACAAAAAGCCCTAGCTAGTAAAAAAAAAAAAAAAAAGTTATTATATTCCAGATCCTTCTACTAACGTCTCAATAGTTGTTCAAATGATATTAAATAAATGGTACGTTAGATACTGAGGTCCCCTGGACCCTATCTTTATCATCCTTATGGTAAGTCCTCGGTAAAAATCATTTTTTACTATATTCATAATTATCCTGTTGTGATTATTTGACCCATGCATACTTAATTGTTTCTTTGGCTTTGTCTCCTCCAGACTCAAAGCTGTATGTCTACCCAAGATAAAAATGCCTGGTGTCTATCCAGGGCCTTTAAACAGAAACTCTGGAGAGTATCTCTGACTGCCAATCAACAACTACGACCCCTTTCAACTGAAGAAGTTAGACATTCAATAGGCTATTTTTACTAAATCATTTTTACCAGATGAAATCATGCTGTTATGTTTACCGGTGTTCAAAATTTAAGCTTATTGAGAAAGCAAAATTGCATCTCAGGCTTTTTTTTTTTTTTTTTTTTGACACAGGGTCTCAGTATGTAGTGCAGGCTGGCCCCAAACTCAACGCTGCCCTCCTGCCTCAGCCTCCTGAGTGGTGGGCTTACTAGTGTGTACCACCAGATCCAGTTCAGCCCAGTAATTCTTAGCCTTTTGATCAATTCTGCTTGTCATCCAGATATCTATCCTTGTCAATTACGATATGCTTTTAAGAAGTAAAATGAATCAAAATATTATACTTTAGTTCAACAGATTTCATGTTGCACCCTTTAAAATGAGAAATTATGAAAAAGAGCAAATATCAACCAAATCCTTACAAAGCTCTCTACTTCAAAGCAAAACAAATCAAACTACACAACGCCAATTTTGTGAAAGCATTTTATGCACTCACACAAATATTTGAAACACGAAAATATCAGCAAGGATTATGTCTGGTAAATTACACACTGGGGCTTTTTGCTTTTTATACTACCTATATTTTCTACACAGATCATAAATTATTGTTAAAACTAAAAGAAAAAAAAAGTGGATCCTCAGGTGGAAGTGTTCCATGTGAGTTCAGTGCTGAGAGCCTGCAGCTGAACTGACCTGTTGTTTATGTGATTTTATTTTACTGTGGGCTGTGAAGGGTTCTCAGAGACCCTCAAGTCACAAAGTGGAGACAGTGACCTTTGAGGATGGAGCTGTGAACTTCACCTCAGCAAAGTGGGATGTGCTGAATCCATCCCAAAAGAAGCTTTACAGAGATGTGATGTGGGAAACACTTACGAATATTAAACATATAGGAAGAACATGGTGTACAAAACAAATGGTAGAAGTGGACAAAAACTGCTCAGGACATCTAAGATACGATGCAAGGAATTCTTTCAAATTTGAAGAGAAGCTCTATAAACATAAGGAAGATGGAAAAACTTTCAGTGATTTCCAGTCCATTCAGAAGCATAAAATGAGAGAATCCCTTTCAAAATGGACAATGTAAAGATACCAACTCTGATCTTAGTGAACGAACTCACACTGAGCAGAAAGGTATTGTAGGTATGAATAGTGGGAAGGCTTCCACACGAACCAGAAGACATGCTAAGGAAAAGCCCCATGTAACTAAGAAATGTGTAAAAGAATTAGCAGTTGGTAATTCCTTTTCAAAATGTAAAAAAATTCAGACTGGGAAAATATTTTATATATATAAGCAATGAAGAAATGAATTTTCTAGTGAGTCTTCAAGTAGGCATGCAACATCCTACATGGGAAAGAAAACGTATGTATGTAAACAATGTGGTAAAGCACTCAGCAGACATAATGTCCATAAAAATCATGAAAGAACACACATTTATCCTATGTAGGTAAGCAGTGTGGGAAAGCACTGTCAAAATAGTAGACTTCGAATACGTGAAAGAATTCACACTGGGGACAAACCCTATGTATGTAAGCGATGTGGGAAAGCATTCACTGCACACAGTGCATGTCAAAGACAGGCAAGAATTCATACTGGGGAGAAACCCTATGTGTGTAATCAATGTGGGAAAACCTTCAACAGAAGTGATTTCCTTGTAGTACATGCAAGAAATCACACTGGGGAGAAACCCTACGTATGTATGCAATGTGGAAAACTTTCAACCAAAATGGAATCTTCTATTACATGAAAGAATTCACACTGGGGAGAAACCTTTTGTATATAAGCAATGTGGGAAAGCATTCAGCAGACATAGTCACTGCTAACCTCATGAAAGAACTCAGAGATGACAAACACTGCATGTAAGCAATGTGACAAAGTACAATTCCACATATGTCAACTATTTTGTAAATACTTTGAGAATTATTCATGTAGAGTAGAACCAAAGAAATATAAAAATATGGAAGTTAGTATCTTCAGATAACACGCTCAGAAATGGAAGTATTAAGTTTACATTTTTCACAATGTTTTCTCTCTATCCAGAGCAATGTTTTATTTTATGAAGTCCTCTTCAAACTCTTTTCATAGTATAATTTTTGCTGTATAAATCTTACTTCCTGAGATTGATTCCTAAATATTTCATTTTCTGAGGTATTACTGTGAAAGGCATGTTATTGTTTTGCTTCTTCTTTAAACTAATCTTGCATGTTTATATCTGGTAGCCTGAGCAACTAATCTGAAGATAGCTTCATGTAACACAGCAACCACTGTTGAATTCCTATTACTTTGTTTAGTGAAATTTTGTATCATTTCTAATGGTTTTTTTTTTCTATCACTACTTTGTATTCTTTAAAAAATAAAAATAAGGGGGGGGGAACCTTCAGCAAGTGGAAATTGAGGCAGCACCAAGTGGGTATTACATTGGATTAACATGCCATAATCCCTAAGTAAAAAGCATTCAAGGATCTTAAAGAGACGGGCTTATTATCACACACTCTAGTCCTACACTTCAGATGTCTGACACAGTACTATGTGGAGAACTCTACAAAACATTAGAAAAAGCAAATGTGGGTTCTTATGACGTACCAAAGTGGGCCCTCAAAATAAATAGGAAGTCACTAGTAAAAAAAATTATTGACCCAATACAAAATGTAAACCCATCAAATGCCGCTGAGTTAGTCACCTGACAGACCCCTTGCGGAGGTCCCCCCCAGCTCTGGCAAGAAATATACAAAATGATTCGTTTTATGCCGGCTTCACCCCGATTTATGTTAAACCTAGCAAAGCCGTCTTCTGAATCCCTAGACCGAATTAGCAGTTTACACGTGGCTCGGTCCCTAAACAATCCCGATTTTCTGCAGCTTTTTTCACACCTAGAGCAAGCAACGAGCCCCGGCCGGGTGCAGGCGCCGCCGCAGCCCCGCACAGCGGCCTCGGGGCTCCGACGGCGCGGCCGGACCGCAGAGGGAGCGCGGCGGC